CCGCCTTTGCGTTGCTTCTCCTGTGGGACACGGCGAGGGATGAGTGGGGCGGGGGGGAGCCGCAGCTCTCTGCCTGCTGCAGTGGGGGACGCTCAGCCCTGGCAGGGACAGGTTGTGGGTACCCTGACTGCCCCCTCGGCTGACCTCCGTGATGGAACCCTGCACTCCCGCAGACCCTCCCGTCCAGCACTCCCGGCAGCCACTGAGCACAGCCACAGCCCGTGGGCAACGCTCCCCTCCCCGAATTAATGGAAGGTCTTCAGTGTTACCTGTGCCACCGGCAGCAGAGCTCAGTAAGGCAGTCCCCGTCCCATGGTTCCCCATAAGATGGATGGAGCAGGAATAAAGTCCTCAGTGCTCTCAGCCTTCAGCGTGCCCTTCTCTGGCGCTCAGCCAGGCACATCTCAGGAGTGACCACCAGTGGGCCAATACCCACTGGCTCCAGCTCAGACACTGCACAGGCAGCTGTGGGAGATCATGGCACAGATGGACGGGAATGGGGCACGGAGGTGGTGGGGGCAGAATGCCCCATACCTGTGAGCGATTTGAGCTCCTCATCCACATCTGAGTGAGAGCACCTCCACGGAGATGTGCAGAGCAAAGGGTCTGTCCTGCAAACAGTCTGGCCCACAAACGGTGAGGTGGATACAGAAGTCTGGAGGTAGATCCCATCTGGCAGGACACATGCTCTTCTCCTGGCCACACTCCAGCCTGGTGTCCCCAAACCTCCCAAACAGGGCAGAGAGCACCCTTCGTGCCTGGGTTGCCACAAGCCAGCCGCATGTACGGAAAGACTGTGCTGCAAAGCCATCTGCTACGCAGGCCAGCACGGCCAAGCTGCACGGACCAGGAGCTGCTGCCTTATATCACACAGAGCAAGGGAAGCACATGGGGAAAAGCGAAAAGTCAGCACTGTGCCAGTGGGAGCAAATACATGCTGCCAGTGTGTAGATCCAGCAGCCCAACGCTGAAGCTGCTGCTGCCGCCCTTTGCTCAGCTGGGGCCCTGGGCTCAGCTCGTGCCTGGTCAGACAGGAAGCAAAAGTAAAGAGTAAATAATAGGGGGGTCTTGAAGCTCCTTTTTCAACTTTATTTAGCTTTGACTCTGCACAGAGCCATAGCATAGCGTACTCTAGCCTTCGAGGGGGGGCACAGGAACCCCCTGAACACACCATGGTTTGGGGTCAGCCCCCATCTCCTGTGCCTTGTGCTCTGCCCCTGAAATGTTGTTGGGGTATCTGGCACAAAGACTCTGAAGAATAGAGACGGCCCCTGCCCCACGGCGTCCTTGGAGGCTCATAGGTCGCTGCTGCAGTTGCGGCACAGGATCTCATCGTTGTCAGGGATGAAGCCTTTCCCGACAAGTGAGGTGTTGCAGCGGGCGCAGTTAAAGCAATTATGGTGCCAGTGACGGTCCTCAAAGGAGACATATTTACCACCGCCAAAGCCTACAGGAGGGACAGAGTGCAGCGTTAGAACCCTTGAGGAAACTGGGATGAGCTTCCCACACAGACCGAGTCTTGGCCTGTTCATCGCCGAGTCAGGTCTTCACACGCAGTGCCGCACTGTGGCACCCAAACATCCCCCAGTATCGAATACATCTGACACAGGAATCCACACTCTTGAGGGGGAAGAGGATCAAAATTATTTCACACCAGATTTTGCAGGGTTGAGATACTCAGACCAGAATCACCATTTTCTCCCTAGAGAGGAGCAGGGAGTGGAGCTGCACCATCACAGCGAACAAGGGGGTTGTCGGGAGCTCCTGGCAGCACTGCCTGGAGCAGCTCCTTCCAAGGACAGCGCTAGTGAAATCCTGGGAAGAGCCCTCCTGCCACCAGCCCAGGCCCATGCTCCTGCAGAGGCTCTGTGGGCAGCTTCCTTCCTCTGCCAGCGGTGGCTGGACTTGTGGGCTTTGACCCTCTTCTCCCCAGGTCTGCGAGAAATTGATAAGGACCAGACGGGAAGCAGGGTGCCCAGGAGCTGCCCTGTCCTCAGCCAGAGTCATCCTCTGAGTCACCAGCTGATTCATGGCTTTGCCTGCCTTCCCAGCAGCAAAAGACATGAGTTGCAAAGGGAAGGGTTAAGTGGGGGAGGGCAGGAAGGAGGCCAGACCTTCTCAGGGGTTTCCGCAGAAGACGACACCCTACTTCCCCTGCCTTAGGCAGGTACGACAGGTCCAGACTCCCCTGCAGCAGTTGCTGCTGCAGCTATGGCTGGAAGTCTCTGGCTTTCCCTGTCTGTGAGCAATCTTTCCACAGGACGTGGCAACCAGTCTCAAACAAGGCAAGCTAGAGACACAAGATCACGCTGTGAGCAGTCATTTTGGGAGCCTTTACCACTGGGCAGAGGGAATTCCTCCCAAGTGGCACAGTTCACAGCTTTGAAAGATGCAGATGAAGGAACACAAGTGGCCCTAGGACCACTGCAACAAAGAGATCCCCTCTCACAGGGTTCCTCGGAAAGCGGCTACAGTTGTTACTGTGGGGGACGTGCCTGTGGGCACCTTGTGCTCCCCAGCATTTGTCCCCGGGAGGCCTGAAGTGCCTGGAGACACCTGAACAAGCCTCCACGGTGGAGACGTGTATGAACATCATATAGGCCTGGGTCACAGGTGCACTCAAGAGGGCAGCTTCACCCAGAGAAGTCACCACGTGTCTGGATCTGGAAACAAAGCAGGTAGGTCATGCCTTGCTCTGCAGAAGTGCCTCGTAACCAGGGCCGTTCTGCTCACCTGTGATGGGCTTTGTGCAGGCGCTGCACTTCTTGGCATAGAGGTTCCCAAAGCACTTAATGCAGTACGGGTTGTCGTCCTGGGAGGTGAACTGCTGGCCAGCCAGGGGGGTCTTGCAGCCTGTGCAGACGAAACACTCCTTGTGCCACGGCTCATCCCGGTAAGTCACTCCTCCTTTGGTCAGGGTCTGCAGGAAGAGAGTGCACACTGGTGACACGTGGGCATGGGGAAACGGGCCGCAGCACACGTCCAGCAGCTACCCAGGGTGCTGGTGCCTGAACCCTTCTCTGGTGGGGCTCAGACAGGGTAGGGAACATGTCCCCAGATCAGAGAACTCGGGGGCTTTGGGCTGTCAGGCCAGACATACCTTTTTGCAACGGGTGCAGCGAGGAGCGAACTTGCTCTCGTAACAGGGGACACAGTAATAGTCCTTCTTGTCTGGGATGAAGGATCGTGACCCAATGGGCTGCTGGCAGCTGCTGCATATGAAGCAATGCTCATGCCAGGTTTGTCCATTGTACTCCAATTTACGGGATCCTGCAGAGAGAGCCGTTCACAGTGACGGGAGGGAGCAGCACACACGTACATAGGGGACACGGGAGGCTCTGGGGGATAAGCTGTGGTGCCCCAGGCCCACCCCACAGCCGCAAGGGGAGGGCTGTGGCAACATGCCCCCAGCACTGGCACACAGGCCGCAGCAGAGACGCCTGTTGTAACCTACATCTGAAGACGGTGCCAGAATGGCCAAGCAAAGACACACCTTTGCCTCAGGCCATCTCCAGAGACGCTCACACACCTTCAGTCATTCCTTCTCTCCTCGTCAGCACACACTAGAAAATGCCCAGGAAACCCTTTATTATCTCCTCCCCAGCTCACTTCCCCATGAAAAAAGGGAACAGACAGAGCTGCTGTGGTAATCGCAGCTTGGGATCCTGCTGTCTTGGCAGACGAGCAAAGCGCCCAGCCCACTCTATGCAGCAACAATGGGACAGGAGAGCAGAAATTCAGCTCTCTTCCTTGCTGCCCCGGTGTTGGACCCTGCAGCCCCAGCCGACGCTGCTGGGACCAGGAACAAACTGCAGTGCTCAAGTCTGCCCGCTCCTACCTGGCATGACTGTCTTTTCACAGGCAACGCATTTGGACGAGAACTCGCTGCAGTAGCAGTCATTGCACAGCAGCTCCTCGCCTTGGCAGGTGAATGGCTCGTCGGCCAGAGAACGGTCACAGCGGAAGCAACGAAAGCAGTGCTCGTGGTAATGGCGATCCTCATAGTACAGCTCCTGGGGAGGACAGCCGAGATGAAGAGGGGACCAGTCACCCCAGGGAACTGCCCTGCCCGGCCACAGAGTCCCATACTCACTCTGCAGTCGTGGCCGATCAGCTCTTTGCACTCATCACAGGTGTTGGCAAAGTGGGCATCGTAGCAGGGGATGCAGTACGGGCCGTTGTCCATCTGGATGTACTTGCGCCCGTACAAGGACTCCTTGCAGTTGTCGCAGTCAAAGCACTCTGTCATGGTGCCAGTCTGAGGGCCTCCTTCACCTGCTAGGAGATCAGCGGGGATGCTGGGTCAGTATCAGCTTACACTGCCTGAGATGTCCCTGCACAGCCCTGCCATCTCCAGAGGGCAAGGACCGTGAATCCCTGCACTGAGCCAACAAACAGCTGCTATCAGGAGAGGATGCAGACCTGACTTGCTGCACCTGCTCTGTGGCCGTATGCACTTCCAAAAAAGCCTGCACGCATTCAGGGCCTGGGATGAATCTTGCTTCAGGTTTATATTCAAGTTCAACAGTTGGAGCACTTAGGCACCACTTAGAGAAACCTAGACACACAAGCATGCAATCGAGATTCTCACTGTCTTCCTCCTTTCTGGGAAGCAAAGTGTAAATGGTTGCCAAAAGAGAGGATTTTTTTGCATGAGAAGTTTTGATTTAGCACCAAAACCAGGACCATGCACATGCTGTGTGGGTGCACATCCACTGTCACATCAGAAAGCCAGCCACCTCGAGGGAGATCTGTCTACCAAGCAGCCCTTCAGGGACCCACACTCAGCCACCAGCATGGCCCTGGATCAACGGCAAGATTCCTCCCGACAGCGTGTGAGCTGATGCTCTGCCTGATGGGGCTGTCAGCATTTCAAATTCTGGAACGTCTCCAGAACTTTAAAGCAGCTGCTCCACAGGGAAGCAGAAACCAGGCACCCCATGCTGTGCCTGGCTATGAATCACAGAATCATTATGGTTGGAAGAGACCTCAAAGATCATCAAGTCCAACCGTACACCCGATGCCACCATGCCCACTAAACCCACTAAACCATGTCTTGAAGCGCCACATCTAAACGTTTTTTGAACACCTCCAGGGACGGTGAGTCCACCACCTCGCTGGGGAGCCACGTCCCAGCAAACAGTTTTGCACATGTTGCTCCAACTACAAACACTCTTCAGGGAGCAAGCGTTGGGGAGGGCGGGTGTTTTAAAAGCATGGAGGTGTTGGGGTTTTGCACGCAGGAGATCAGACCTCGCTCGTTGCCCCTTGTCTCCCTCTCCGACAAGAGGTTTGTTGGAACTATTTCGCTTTCTTTGGAGTACTAACTCCAGAACAAGAGTATCTTCCTTCTGTTTGGTTTAACATGGTTATTCCTAAATATGGAGTTTTCCACTTGCAAAAATCACACCCTTCTTTAGTACAGGTTGCTATCAAGTGTAGACAAGCCCATGGAATTACATCTGAGCAGTCAGCTGCAGAGTGCCACACGCTGCAGTTTTCTTCATGAACCCACCCACTTCAGAAAGAGCTACTATGGCTCAATCTACAGTTTAGCATTTAATGGGGCAGGGAGCCCCCCCCCAGCCCCGGCCCCTCCCTCCTCACAGGCTCCCCGGCCACAGCAGCCGCGTCCCTTGCACTGGGAGGCACTGGGAGGCAGCCCCCCGGGCAGGAGCTGATCCAGACAGCTCTGACTCAGGGCAGTGAGCTCCCCAGGGCTATTCTTGGTCAAGCCACACAGCTCCCAGCTGTTGTCAAGCCTGGTATGTGCGATAGGGCTGCTGGTGAATAAATCTAGTGTTCCCACATGGCTACGTGACCAACAGAGGGGGAACAAAGTCCCTTTTCAGACTCTCGTTACCCAGCT